TAGCATCCCAGCGAGGGTCTCTGCGTCCTCCAGCAGTGTTTTAAAATGCGCCCGAAGCCGTCATTCAGCACAAAGGCACTCTATTATTAATTAAATCACAGCAGCAGATGGCCTTGGTTTGGGAGCCCATCCAGAATTGAAGTAGGCCCGTAAAGCTGGGTCACAGATGTGTGCAGTGGGATGCGTTCTCCTCCTCTGGCGCTCGCTCTCTGTCTTTCTTTATTCATACCCCAAGGAACACGGCGAGGCCAGGAATGATGGTTTTAAGTGTGGCAGGGTCCATATGATAGGGTTCAATTAAACACTTATAACTCTTCCATTAGGCAGAGAAAGACTCGGCCGGAGATTCTGGCACCGCAAAGAGAAAAATGCAACTCTTAAACCATGCCAGAAATATCACTGGAATCCAAGAGAGGATGTCAGTCCTGAATGTTTTACAGCTTTTGTTTGTTTGTTTTTTCATTATAGGCAGCTCTGTTTTCTAGACATTTCTATAAATGGACTTATTAATATATAAATGTTGCTGGAAAGCATGCCTATGTTCACAATAGCAGGATTCCCGGGCAATTTAAACTTTTTTTTTTATTTATATATAATTTTTTCAATCTGAAAATTATCAAAAACTTATGGAAATTTATATTATTTTATTTTATTTTTTACACTCAAACTTTAGTCATTCTGTAAGTAAAGTCGTATTGGAGAATAAAGCCGTATTCTGTATAAATGATGTATTGGGGGAAAAAAACATTATGGAATAGTCATAGTACTATTTCTAAGTGCTATTTAGTATATAGTATGTAGATGACCTACATTTGCCAAATGTATACAACAAAGAATTTTTTTTTTTTAATCCATAATACTTTTACTATTTCTGCCGTATTATTACACTACTGTTGAAAAGTTTGATGTTAATAGGAAAGTCTCTTCTGCTCACTAAGGCTGCATTTACTTGATTAAAAGTACAGTAAAAACAGTAATATTATGAAATGTTATTGTGATTTAAAAGAACTGTTTTATATTTTAATATTTTTAAAGCCTAATTTATTCCTGTGATACAAAGCTGAATTTCCAGCATCATTACTTCAGTCTTCAGTGTCACATGATCTTCAGAAATCATCCTAATGTGCTGATTTGCTGCTCAAGAAACATTTCTGATTATTATCAGTTTTATTATTATTATATTATATTAAACCAGGATAAAAAAAATTGCAGGAATCTTTGACGAATAGGAGGTTCAAAAGAACTGATTTATTTAAAATAGAAATCTTTTGTAATTATAAATGTCTTTACTGTCACTTTTAATCAATTTAATGCATCTTTGCTGAATAAAAGTATTGATTTCTTTCAAAAACCATCATACTGACCCCAAACATTTGATCGGTAGTGTAACGGCGGGCCCCACAACCACCAAAGCCTGTGGGCCCAGCTCGTCTTCCTCCTCCTGTGAGAGCTCTCAGGCCGCTGCCACAACGCCAGGGCCCAAACCCTCCATCTGCTGTAGGTTAACTAAAAACAACTGGTAACAGCTCTCAGTGATATGTGTCGGGTCCCCACTATAATAGCAGCAACATTCACAAATGTTTACAGAACAAGCGGGAACCCAGTGTGCCTGTAGTTTTCTCTATTTCTGTTTTTTCACGTGATAGAAAGTCTAAGGCCTTCTTAAGCCGTACGGCTGATTTATCTAATCTGCGGCCTGTTATGCATCAAACTAATATTGCTGTTGAGACAAAATGCAATGCCATCAAGTTAGCATTTTTAAACATTCGCTCACTAAAAAATAAATCATTTCTAATCAATGACTTAACCACAAACAACCTGGATTTTATGTTTCTAAATGAAACATGGCTAGAAGACAGCTGCAGTGCAACGGTCCTCAATGAAACAGCCCCTCCTAACTTAAATCACTCAATGGCCTAGGACCTAAATATATAGCAGATATGCTCACTGAATATAAACCTAACAGACCACTCAGATCATTAGGATCGAGTCAGTTAGAAATACCAAGGGTTCACACAAAACAAGGGGAATGTGCTTTTAGTTATCATGCCACCCGCAGTTGGAATCAGCTTCCAGAGGAGATCAGATGTGCTAAAACATTAGTCACATTTAAATGCAGACTCAAAACTCATCTGTTTAGCTGTGCATTTATTGAATGAGCACTGTGCGATGTCCGAACTGATTGCACTATATTTTATATATAATCGTTTTCTTAAATTAATTTTAAACCTCTTAAATCATTTTCAAAGTTTTTAAATTCCTTGTTTTACTGTTGTGATTATTTTTTTATTTTATTTTATGTAAAGCACTTTGAATTACCATTGTGTATGAAATGTGCTATACAAATAAACTTGCCTTGCCTTGCCTATATATTGTATGAATCATATATAATAGTAATCAATTCTAATTTTTGGCATCTCTATCTTGACTCATCTTTTGTTGATACTGCCAAAAGTTAGGACAATGTTTTCATAATTTGGACTAAAGATACAAACCAACGTGAGAAAATATACACTCTTAAAAATAAAGGTTACAAAAGGGGGTTTTCACAGTGATGCCATTGAAGAATCAGCTTTGAACCATTTTTCTTGTACACTGTTTATTTTTTTTATATACTGCTGTTTTACATACTATTTTTGTAATAATACTTGATAGTTTGCTGTGTATAGTGTGCAGTAGTCGTGCTCTATCGTTTAGTTTCCACCTCACTTTCTGTTTGCTCATCTCTATAGCCTCTAGAATCTCTGGAAATGATTTTACTCCCATAATATTTCATTTTTAGACCAGCACACCCCAGGACTAATGATTTTCTCACTCTGACACTTAATAATCTCCAGTTGGAGACTCACAAAGCAATTTAACTCGTAAGCATTTTTTCCACAGGGCCAAAATGTAATATAATTTGAATTGCATCTAGACCTTGGATTCTTTTGCGCAATGATTATGAGTTCACACTCCTAAATCACTCACTGATGTCTGTATACTAAAGTTGGTGTATGATTTACTTCAAAACAGTTTTCACTGTTTGCTAATTTACAAAGAAACACATTGAATTACACATGATATATGACTGAAATATTATTTTCTTGTAAAACAGACTTCCCAATAATCTTTATTTACAACTTCAAATTTTATTTTATTTTTTTACAGTGTATTCACATAAAACTGGCTTGTATGACAGAAAAGGAGAACAAAACTGTTCTAAAGTTATGAAAGCATTATTTCGCTGAATGTTCAAAACATCCAGTTTTTTAAATCTTATATATATATATATATATATATATATATATTTTTTTTTTTTTTTTTTTTTTTTTTTTTTTTTTTTTTTTTAATTATAAAAGAATTATGGGAACGTTTCTTTTGAATGTTCTCTGAACGTTTGGAAAGAAGTAGCAAAATTGTAAAAAATGGAATTCAGAGAAAAGTTCCATGAACGATGTATAAAGAGAACGCTATCAAAAACCAAACTCTAAACTAACATTCTATTAATGTTACTGCAAGATCATTTGTTTATAATATTGAGAGAACCTTGTCAGAACGTTCCCTGTTAGCTGGGTTTGTGCTTCGTCTTCTTTCACCACAGATCAAATATGGCATGTCAAGATGTGTTTTTGTTCTTTTTGGAGCTTGAAAATCAAAAATAAGTGAGTGAACAGATGATGACTAAACATTATTTTTGGTTAAATTGTACTGAACATTTAGAGAGAGAGAAGCTGAAATGAAAGCACAGGTATTTCACAGCACTGGCTCCTGTTAAACACATTAAGCAGAATTATCCTCAAGCATGTTCTGTTGTTAATTCAACTCTATGAGTTTTCCACACGTTCAGGACAGAGACACTCACTCTGGGCCCAAACCATGTGTCTACCTGTGTCAGAGTCACAAAACGAACTGTCTAGCATCACGAATGCTCTGAGAGAGAGAGAGAGACAGTCGCTGCCACCAGAGGCTGTAGTCTGAAGTGGTTTCCTTGGAAACGGAAGAAAAGATCCTAAGTTATTTGCTATCAGTATAATGTTATTTATGCAAAGAGTGAACCCAATAACACTCAAGGGTTACCGTGCTTTACCTGACAGGTGTTACTGTTGCTCTGTTATTGAAGAGTATCTCTAATAGAATAAACCATGTATTTCAATGTATAATATAGATCCATCTATATAAAATATGTGTTTTTGTATTCTCTATATATTCTATTATTAATTCATGTTTATTATATAAGGAGAACAGAGATCATCAAAGTAAAATATATAAAGTAGTATCAAATAATTTTATATTAATTTTCATGTAATGGGGCAGCTGAAGAAAAAGCTAAACTAATATAGAATTACAATTACTTCTTAATTAATTAAGTATTATTCTAATTATAATTTACATTTAATAATCAGTTTTCATTTTACCAATCTGGACTTTTGTTTTTTTTGTTTTTTTGTTTTTTTATCATTAAAGACATATCTTTTTTTACATTTAAAAAAATATGTCTTTAATGATAAATAAATAATAAAAATGAATTAGCACTTTATAAACTATATGTAATTGTAAATA